ATAAAAGTTAGAGGTGATTTTGGAGCCATTTTTTGAAAATACCATGGGCTATAGTATAAGGTTTTTTTGAAAATTTGCTGTGACTATTTACACATGGGATGTTGGGACTACTAATACAAGGGCTGAAATTTATTATAAATTATTATAAATTATTATTATTAGTAGTAGTAATTTGTATCATTATTCAGGTAAAATAGTGACCGAGAGAGTAAAAGAAGAAAAACTTTATTATCAAAAAGTGGCCGATGCAGGTGTGCATTAATTAGAACAAAAATTATATAACAACATTAATTTTTTATTAGCATCTGAATCAGTTCTGACTGGAGCTAAATCTCTTTCCGGTAGTCTTGTCATGTCACCTCTCACAGGAATACTTGAAAGTAACAACAACAAACAACAAACAAAAACATTATTAATTATTTATTTATTGTAGAGCATTTAAAGCAGACAATGAAACAGCATGAAGTGTATCACCAGGTGATTGCTCAGTTATTATTATTATTTTTAATATTTCGTTATAATTATTGACAATTTTTGTTTTACATTTTAGAAGCTAAATATTTTCTAAATTTGATTGACTATTATACATGTATGTATTTTACAGTTATACATGTAAATTATTATCATTATTATTGTGCATGTATTAATTAACTATTATTATATTAATTGTTTTTAATTGTTTCTCATTTTGTTAGCAAATATTAGGAGAGTATCAGAGATCAAGGGCTAAGGCTGGGAGAGAGAAACAGATGAAAATAGAACAAGTGATAAGACAATACCCTCACGACCCAGACCACCCTGGTAAATACAGTGTATACATTGTACATGTACATGTACCTTCAGTCTATTTGGTATACATGTGTACATGTATGTATTCGTAAATTTTGATTTTTGATTTTTTGTATAGAACGTGTTCAGCAGCTGCAGAGAGTTGAGAAGGAATGGGAGGAGAAGAATCAGTCACTTACAAATGAACTGGCTAGGATAGAACTGCTGCTGACATCAGCTTATGACAGGTACAGGGGAAAGACAGAGAAAGAGGGAGAGTGGGACTAAATGTACTATAAAAATCCAGTGGGGTTTTAGCTCGATCCATCTATTTTTGCATTTTTTGTAAAAAATACATTAATTTTAATTTTGATTGAATGCAAATTTAGCTGGTTTTCTGCTGGTTTCATGTTTCGCAAAATTTTAATTTTTTGTAAAAATTAACACAAAAGTAATTATGGTTAAAATTTTGATTGGATGCAGTAAAATCAATAATTATTATTAATTTTATTTTTTTATATTTCAGATATCTCGAGAAAAACCTTCCTGCTCCTGATACCCTACCAATCACTGTCTGTCTCTCTGTACCTGAAAAAAACTTCACTGCCGACGACGTCATATTGAAACCCAATGAGACGTATGTGATACTCATTAAATATGCGTGTTAATTATGGGTGTGGTTTAGGATGGACACGATTTTAAAGAAAGTGGAGGAGATGATGAAAGAAAAGAAAATGGAAGTGACAAAGTTTCCTCCTTGCGAGGAATTACAGATCTCATTACTGAGGTGGGTGGAGAGTGAGAAGAGAGGGTATAGTTGTCTGTGTGTGATGCTTTAATTTGGTAAAGTTTTATGAAGACAATAATTATCAATATTTGAGATAAAAAAATAACCAATGTTAAACTCACAATTTTCACTGAAAATCAAATCTCAGTCCTTTCATACATTCAAACTTTAAAACCGCCTAAATACATGTACATGTAGTTAAAATACATTTACTGGAAATTTTCACTATACAATTATACAGTATTTTACTTTACTACTGTAGCCCATTCGCCACTGAAAATGATGATGATGATAATCAAGATGAAGATGATGATGCTGTAGGAGGTGAAGCCTCTCTCTGTGCTGGTGGTGGCCTCAAGAAGCATAAGGTGGGCGGAGCTTGCAAAGGAGGAGGAGAAGGGGAAGAGGAACAAGGACTCACTTCATTAGTACACACTACACTTCATGGGGACTGCATGCCTGTACTCCAGTATGGGATTGTAAGTATAATGTACACTGTATTAATGTGTGTACCGTATAAGATGATTTGTTGGCGGGAGTTTTTTTTGGCGGTTTTGTGATGGCTAGCTTATTGGTGGATTTAATATTGGCGGTTTCTAACAAATTAATCATAACCCCACCCTTAGGCAGGGTTTTACTTAAGCGGTTGTAGTTCGTTGTGAACATTATTATCAGAGAAAGACTGTACCTTTTCTGGAAGATTGTATTCTTTATCACCTGGTTTAGAGACTGGCTTAAAGAAACATAGTAAAGCCATGTTAGTTAGCTGCTTTTAACCATGCTTTTAACTAAAATTAATGTGGGTGTGGTCACACACATGAATGGAATTATTGCTTGTGGATTTTATTTTGGTGTTTTTATATACATGTAAATCCGTCAATCCGCCAATATAAAATCCCCGTCAACATTTCATTTTATACGGTATAAAAGATGTAAAGATTATACAGTGAGGTGAAAGTATCTATGGGATTTACTGAGGGCCATAAGCCCTAGGTTGATAAGGCCTTAGATACCGACACAAGTTTTGTGTATATGTGTACAAAAGATGTAAAGGTTATACAGTGAGGTAGAGGTACAATGTACATGTATCTATGTGACTTATCATACTGAGGGCCATAGGCCCGAGGCTGATAAGGCTCTAGATACAGACACAGGTTTTTTTGTATTAATGTGTGTACGAAAGATGATTATTAATAATTGATTTAAATGTTATAGTACATGTACATGTATTTGTGGGGTCAGATTGTGTACATACATGATAGCTATTCACTCATTTGTATCCATTCACCATCACTTTAATGTACATGTACATGTATGTGTGTATGTGTGTGTGTTTAGGGTGGGATATAAATATTGCAATTTGTAACTAATTTATTTGAATATAAATGGTTGATCTTGCTTGTTTATTTCTGCAGTAACAATGTACATGTACATGTACATAAGTATAAAAAAGATGATTTTTATGGTCCATATTTTAGGGGACACCCTGATTTTTTATTTGAATTACACATGTATTTCATTTAACTCCCTTTTATCCTTCTCCGCTCCCTCTCTCTCTCTCCCTCTACAGAAACCAGGTAGTGAGATTAGGATAATGGGAAAGATAGTTTTGAGAGGGTAAGGCCATAATGACCACTAATGATACATGTAATCATAATAATTGATTACAATAAATACAATGATAAGAACTGCACTGTTGACTGTTGCATTAAATTTCCTTTATTTTGATCCTTTTATTTTTTTCTTCTCTCCCCTTTCCGTCTCAGGGAGGAGCCAAAGCTTTGTTTTGCTTCTACGTTTGTGAAAGGAGAAGTCAAAACGATCGACTATTACGCATGCAAAACATGTCAATTAGCATCATGTGAGTCATAATTAACTGATAAGTATAGTATTAGCATTATGATATCAGTATGTACATGTACAGTACATGAATGTTTTTTACAAGAACAATATAATGTATAGTGGGTTTATTTCGAGGATAGCAAATTTCACGGATTTTTAAAGATTCACGAAATTAAATTCCTTGAAAATCAATTTAATATGGTACAAGGTGGCAAAAAGTAGCAATTAGCGAAAATTAATTTCATGAACCTCCGGATACAGGTCATTTGTGAAGATTATTATCCTCGAAATAAACCCGCTATACAGTAATGAATAGGCATATGCATGTACATATACATGTACACACCCAATGCCTCCTAGCTAATTGCTTTGTACATGTACATGTATGTGTGTATGTACATGTAGTATGTACATGTATGTACATATTGTATGCTTGTTTGTTTTTTGTCCATAGGGATATGTCAGAATTGTGCTGATGTATGTCATGAAGGTATAACAATGATAATATTTATATTTTTATTTTAATATTAAAATTGTTATTATCAGGGCATGATCTGATCCCTTACAAGATGAACCACGTATCAACATGGTGAATAAAAACTATTTTTTATTTTTTTATTTTTAAAAACTTTATTCTCTCTCCCTCTCTCTTTTCTTCATTCTCTTTCTCATCTCTCAGGCCTTGTTGCTACTGCCAAAGAAAGAAATTAGTAAGTTTATTCAGTAAATGTTACACAAACATAAAATTAACAAAAACAACAATGTCAACGATAATTATGTAAATTTTTCCTCTTTTTAGTGTCTTATATCTCCGGGAAAATAGTTACAATAACAATATTTTTGTAATTTTTAACAATTTATTTTTATTTAATTGTTTTATTCGCTTTTAGAATTATAATTATGTATCTTCTGTCTCTCCTTCTCCTATTTTAATCTTTTCCTCTCCTGTGACTATCATAAATTGATTATTTGTGTCCTCAACTTTGTGTTTGTTAAATTTTGTACAAGCGGTTATCTCATACTCCAATCCATAAGGTGTCCTAGTAGGAGGAGTCAGACATGCCCACTACTAATAGTACTTACTTGTGACGATACTCTGCATTGAGTGCCAAGTTATGATTCGTCTTACAATGATTGATCAGTACAAGTTTTGTTTGCCTGAAAATGGAAGGAAAACAGAAAATGAAGTTATACTCATGTATCCTAGTCTTTCATCATCGATTCATGCATGTTATTATTATTTTGAATGTGACATGATCACTGTGCAGTTACAGCTATAAAAGGGAATCAGTAGGAGTAACTACATATCTGAAATATCTCAACAGTCATTATTAGTTTTAATCACTTTAGTGTAAAACCACAACCCGGCCCCCAGCCACAGTTAGTTTTGGTTCAGTTATTCCATGAATACAAGATGATTGATGTTTCTCAATGGAGAGCAAGTATTGGACTGTGGAACTACTGTCAAGCTGCCTCCAGTAGACCAGCTAATGGCTACCACTCTTACTCATTCAAAGGAGCAGTAGACAGCAAGTCAGGCAGTACTACATCAGGAGAGAAGTCATCTAAACTGCCAGCAGCTCTGTCTCTTATTGCTTTCCTCCTCCTCCTCTTTCACTCTCTCTCTTTATTAAGACACATCTTGATGATTCCTTCAACAGGTAAACAACAATTGCAACTTTCTACTTGCATATTTACTGGTATTTTATTATTAGGTAACTGCTACCTAGTACAATGTACTACTGTTAATGATATGAATTACCTCCAGTCAGTAGTTTTACCTGGAGGCAGCAGTTCTAACCTGATTCACAATGATCTCTATTTGATTGTTTGTCTACGTATGCTCCTCCTTATATCAGGGGATGTTGAGCTCAATCCTGGTCCTGTGATTGATGATCGACCTGATATTCCATTATTAACTCAATGGCTTGAACCACTTGTTGACTGGAAACCATTTGGTCGTTCCTTACCTGGAATGACTTATTCTGACATTTCAAAGATTGAAGCAGAAAATGTAAAAATTGATGAACGAAAGTCGGCATTGTACTCGAAATGGCTGAGCATAGCACCTACAGCAACATGGGCTGATGTGATTAATGCACTGAACAAAAGAAGAGAAAACAAACTAGTACAAGACATTAGAAGAAATTTACAAAAAAGTGCACCAAGGTCAGCTAGAAGTTGTGTTGCTGTTACTACCAGACCATCACCACAGATGAAGACAGTAATGTTTGATACAGCAGAAGATGAAAAGGGGACACTGCGCACACTAATTGATCTGAATAAAGAGTTTTCTATTTTAATGATGCATACCAGGCTAGGAATTGAAGAGAAAACTAAGAAGGATTCTGACTGCATATTACATAGACTTATTATATGGTTGGAGACTTACATGCATTGGAATGATATGCTAACAAATGCATCATTAGATGAAACTTTCAAAATCATTCATCCGTTTTATGATTTCATTGATTGCAGTCTGATAGTGGACATGAGTGAAGTATTCCTACAAGATTTTGAATTTGGTGATGAGTTAAATATTGTTAGCGAGTTGAAGAAACATCAAGAAAGAGCTGATCAACTTCGTTTTTCAGCTCAAGTAAAGCACCTTAATGATTCATTAAAAACAATATATGAAGAACATTTACCAGATATATCAAGCATGCCAACGATTTTTATAAAGCTTCATAATCCATGGCATAGTAGCAACATCAATGGACTCTCTCTACTGATCCACAACTTGCTTCCATTTGGATACCAGCAATCAATAATGAAATATATAAAAATATCATTTGGATCTGTCATCATAGAATACTCTTTGTATGGTTCTACAGCTGATAGTCTAATAGAATATACTGGAGGAAAGTTACAGTTTATACGTCTTATTGGTATATTTAGTTTATACATTAATGATCATCCTGTCCTTCAAGAAGATGAGAATATGAACTTTACCTTTGAACTAGCTCTCCTTGATGCAGTCACAGTTGGTAATAATGAAGCAGTAGAGTTTCTTCTTCAACTAGAAACTGTTAATATTGATCATACTAATGAAAAAGGCAAGACAGCACTAATGTTAGCTTGTGAAGGAGGACATGAGGACATTGTACACAATTTATTGTCTGCTGGAGCTGATGTAAACATTCAGGACAATAATGGATTGACTGCACTAATGATAGCAAGTGAACATAATCACATTTCAATCATTCGGATGTTGCTACAAGCTAATGCTAATCCTAACTTAAAGGTATTTGATGGATCAAATGCTTTAATGATTGCTAGCTACCATGGTAACTATGAAGTTGTTGAGCTATTGATTAGTAAAGGAGTTGACTATAAATATCAACGAGAAGATGGTTGTAATACTTTTATGTTGGCTTGTAAAAATGGTCACACCCAAATAGTTGAACTGTTGCTGAAGGAACAAGTTGACCCTAATGTTCAAATGAATGATGGAGTGAATGCTTTTATGGCGGCTTGTAAAAATGGCCACACTCAAATAGTTGAACTGTTGCTTAAAGAACAAATTGATTCTAATGTTCAAGCGAATAATGGAGTGAATGCATTTATGTTGGCTTGTCAAAATGGTCACACTCAAATAGTTGAACTGCTGCTAAAAGAACGAGTTGATCCCAATATTCAAACAAATGATGGAGTGAATGCTTTTATGTCTGTTTGTAAAAATGGTCACACTCAAATTGTTGAACTCTTGCTCAAGGAACAAGTTGACCCTAACGTTCAAACAAATGATGGAGTGAATGCTTTTATGTTGGCTTGTAAAAATGGTCACACTCAAATAGTTGAACTGTTGCTAAAAGAAAGAGTTGATTATAATGTTCAAAAGAAAGATGGAGTGAATGCTTTTATGCTGGCTTGTAAAAATGGTCATACTCAAATAGTTAAACTGCTGCTAGAGGAACAAGTTGATCCTAATGTTCAAAGCAGAAAAGGTCATACTGCTTTAATGATAGCCAGTACTAAAGGACATTATGAAGTAGTTAAGTTGTTATTGGAATGGAAAGTTGATCCAAATATTAAATCTAATGAAGGCTACACTGCATTGTTTTATGCCAAGACTGATGAAATATCTGCATTAATTAACAATTATTTGAAAGGTGTCATAAAATTTAAGGAAGACGTTGCGGCTAGTGTAGACCTATATTCATTTCCATCTCAAAGAACAGTTTCCAGTGGATATCATACAGTATCAAATATTAGTATCGTAAAAAGTTATCCTTCAACAGATACTTTAGGAAAAGGAGACTTTACAGATAAGAAGTGATATTTGATGGTAGGTAAATTTTTCACATTATATATACTTATTAATTTTACTTTTACATTTTTGCTGCTTAAATTTAAGACTTTAAAAAAAAGTTATTGAACTATATATGATCAAGAGACAGTCTACTAAAATTCTAAATTTGATATAATAGCAGTTCTCTAAATTTATAGTTATTTGCAATACATTCCTCAAATTATTTCCCCTCCAGTTACAACGAGTAGCCCCACACATTGAATGCCCTTTGATGTGTTTGTCATGTGTGCAGTTATTGTGATTGAGTTTTATCATTCACTGTTGTATGTGTTTAGGGTGGAATAAAAACATTGCAATTTGTTACTAATTTTATTCCAGTAGTGATTAATGCACATATACACTGTACATACTTACATGTAGATGTAGGTGAAGCATTTGTAACCTTTATTAATTTTAGTGATTGTTGTTATTGTCCTTATTTTGGACAATAAAAAATAACAATAATAATGTTATTTTAAACGCATGATCTGATTCCTTAATTAAAAGATGAACCACTATTTCATTTTCATTAAAAAAAAACTCCTTTCTCTTTATTTTGTTTCTTTTTCTCTCTCGTCCCTCAGCCTCAGCCTTAATGCTACTGCCAAAGAAAGAAATTAGTAAGTTTTTCAGTAAAATATTACACAAACATAAAATTAACAAAAACATCACTGTTAACGATAAGTTTTTTCTCTTTTTAGTGTCCTTATTTCCGGGAAAAATAGTTACAATAACAATATTTTTTAATATTTTTATTTAATTGTTTTATTCGCTTTTAGAAGTATCTTCTGTCTCTCCTTCTCCTATTTTAATCTTTTCCTCTCCTGTGACTATCATAAATTGATTATTTGTGTCCTCAACTTTGTGTTTGTTAAATTTTGTACAAGCAGTTATCTCATACTCCAATCCATAAGGTGTCCTAGTGGAAAGAGTCAGACACACCCACTACTAATAGACTTACTTGTGACGATACTCTGCATTGAGTGCCAAGTTATGATTCGTCTTACAGTGATTGATCAGTACAAGTTTGTTCGCCTAAAATGGGAGGAAGAAAAAATGAAATAATGTATATGTATGGTAGCTATTTTAAATGTTGGAGGTGCATTAACAATAATGATTATTATACATGTAGTTTTGATGAACCACATGTATTATACATGTGTACTATCTCACACTACAATTTGAATTTATTAAGCTATATACATGTACATTCAGAAAGGCTGATATGCCTGCATGTATGAAGTATAGTGTAGTTATTCTTACTGGTACAGGCTCTCCCTCAGTTTCTAGTCTTTCACTGTGATTAGGATTACGAAATGACCTAAAATAATCAACAACGTATATAATAGAATGACAATACTTAATCTTATTGCATGTAGTCTCTTACCAGTGAGTGAAATAGCTTAGGTCACTGACAAGGGTCACCTCACATTCTCTCGAATGTTTTGAGTGTTTATTGAATGTAACACGATCACTGTGCAGATACAGCTAAAGGGAATGAGATGGTAAAACTAAAGTATCAATTTTATCTGTTTGTGTATGTTACTGAAGTATAATATTGAAGTATCTATCATAATACGTTGAATAATCTAATTGCTTTCATAGACTACACCATTAAATCCATTGCATGTACTAACTGTCTAACTCACCATTCAACATTAGCATACATGTACATGTATACATGTACTATTATTAATGCAATCATTTAACAGCCAACCATACCTGTCCACCTTCATTTGGCAGTGTTTGCAATGTAATGTGATCTTCATATCCTACCAAAGCACCAACTGGTACATCAGGATATGGACTATAGGGAGAGTGTTAATGATAATAATGTATTTCCATTATGTTTCATGTACCTGCCAATCACAAAGATATTACGTGGGCATGACTGAAGAAAAGATGATCCAGTGACTTGACTGTCTGTATGCATTATAGTAATACAAGTTAATGATGTTCATGTTCATAATTTATGCATAATATTTAAGCAGAGCTACTATAATAGGATAGTAAGGATCTATGTAAAACTCAGTACTGTACGGGTAGTAGGTTTCGAGGGCATAAAAATTGTGTTTTAGTGAAAAGATCTTAATTTTTTAATATCAAGGGGGTTAAATTTCACATTTTTCCATATACACTTGCACGAAGTTATAGATTTTGACATGCTGTGCATGCACAGTGAACATTTCCATGGTATTAATTTTTGTGGTTAAGAATTTGAAATCTGCAAAATTAAATACCCAACAGAATTTTATGCTCATACGGTATTTTGTTGCATTTTGAATGCATTGTAAATCTGCTTCTTATACCTGGCATTAGTTGAGTAGCTTCATGTGATTGTAAAGCTGACATGAAAGCAGATACCACACTATTAGTTGGTATGTGCTTCAAATTAACTTTATCACCAATCCTGAGGTAGCCATCGCTTGAGAGAGGAGACAACTCAACCTAAAATTAAAATAGAAAGAATAATTGAAGGAGCATTCAGTGATTGTATGTATTTTTATAAAACTCACCTTTTTAAGGACAGTCTGAAGGAGATTGTGTGCTTTCTGTATATGTAATTCACCTTTTTCCTTCTTGTCAAGAAAATCCTTCAATAAATCCTATATAAATAAAACAGATACTGCATCATTAAAGCTTTTATTATTGGGAGCTTTCACTTCTTCGAGGCACAAGTCCTCGTTCCAGTTTCCTACACGAACTGAAGGATTGTAAGTCCTAACACTCATATCTCTCTTCAATCTATTCTAGATTTATGTTATTGTTGTTCGGTTGGTATGGCAACGTAAATAGAGGCGGGGCTTGAGTTATGTATTTTGTGTTATCTCCGTGGACTATCGTATATGTAATCATTGTAATGTCTTCTCACAGGAAACATGCTCAGTCACATGGAACTTGCTCTTCTTGTGAAGTAAATTGATTTATAGCTAAGAGAGACTCTTTATTTCTTTTTAGGTGTTGAAGAAAGAAATTGCCTCCTTAAAATCAGAGCTAGAAACTTTAAAGTATCGTGAATGTATAGTGATTATTGTTTTTATTATAATTTTGTAGGATTGACTACACTCAGTTAATAAAGGAGACATCAGTTGAGAATTTCAGTGAGAGACGAGTCAATTTATTAAAAGCTCACATACTCCAGCTGGAGCGACAGGTAGGCCCCTCCCATTTTTGGATCATGTGACTGTCATGTGACCTCATTACAGTTATTAATATTATCTGATGCTCTTGAGGGCCAGGTTCAATTGCTATCTGATCTTCAGGTTTATGGGGAGGCACTAGAATATAAGATAAAGTATGTTTAAGAATTCATGCAGTGGAAGCACATGTACATGTATTGTTATAGTACTAGTGGTTGAGTACTAGTGGTTGGAATTTGTCAATGATTGCCTGATATGCTTAATAATGTAATTTGTGAATAAAATTTTATGGGTAGTAAGTTTTGCGGATTTTAAAATTGAATTCCATTTAAATTTGTATGCTATACCTTGTTTAATCAATAAATTGGATTATTTGATGAAATTTTTATTCACAAAATAATTTTGTGGGTGTTATTGAAAATTAATTAACAATCGCTGATGTGCATACTCAACAATGTACATTGTCTAATAGGGTGGCCAAAATTTAAAGCCAGGCCCATAAGTACTACATGTGCATGTGATGCTACTGCTACTACATGGACATTAATATTAATGAGGAATTTTACATGAGTAATTTTTAATGGCAAATAGCATTCTTTGTTTAATTTATTTTTTTTAGAAATAAAGAGCCAATTGCTGAAGATGCAGCACGTTTGAGAAAGTTAAATCAAAGGCTTAAGAAAGTTAAATCAAAGGCTTGAGAAAGTTAAATCCTTCTACCTTTCTCCTATTTCCCCTCCCCCTCCCTCTCTCTCTCAAGGTTTCATGTCCCAGAGAAGATGTTGCTCTACCTTTAGTGTATACTGGTGGATTATCAAAGCCACTCACAATATTGGACTCTTTATCTAACAAAGATAATATATCACTTAGAGAAATAGTGAGTACTGATGAGTACATGTGCCAATGTATTGTGTGCTTACTGGGAAAGAATTTAGTGATACATTTAGTGTTGTGTAGAAAGTTTGAGCTAATTCTGATCAAAATTGGATATTTATGAATTTTTAAAATTGCCCAAAATTTGGCCAAAGTTGGTCAAAACTGGCTAGGAAAGTATAAATTTTTGTGAAACATATACATGTACATGTACACCTACCATGTATTTTGTTGCATCAATTTTTGAACTGAGCACTATGCTAAAACCCTGTGGAAAGGATTCCCATCATCCTGCCAAATTCAGAGTTAGTAACTGATGACTGTTATTTATTTTTAAATCCAGAGTTGGATGGAGAGTAAACTATCAAAGCTACATAGCCAGTTACGAAGGCTTCATACCTCCCTCTCTTTATTACCAAAGTGTACTCCAGTACTACCTACTCTAAAGGAGGTTGATCCTCTTTATAAACTGCTGGACCACTCAAGTATTGAAGTGTCTGGTACAATGGATCTGTTATCAACTGTAACCCAAGAACTAATGACCCTATCACTAGCTATACCTGGGGTGAGTAGAGAGTAGAGAGAGGGAGAGAGAGAGGGAGGGAGGGGGAGGGAGAGAGGGGGAAAGGAAAGAGGGAGAGTTTAATTTGTTTTAGTAGAGTGATCTTGTGGTTGTATTCCTTTATTACTCATGAATGAGGTTGTTTATGTGAGCAGGTGGACCATGTTTTTGAATTTGTCTTGATTTGTACTTGTAGTACTTGAACAAATTGGGAGTTCTAGGAATACATGTACATATGCATGTACTTTTTATATATTGACTTGGAGTGAACAGGTGGACCATGTTTTAAATTTTCTTGATGCGTACATGCACTTGAACAAATTGGAATTTTAGGAAGATATGTACTTGTACACTTTTTGGCCTCGCCCAGCTTTGCGTAGGCGAGGACTAGGTACTCAGTTTGTCTGTCTGTCATTCATTCATTCTGTGTGCTATATTTTGTCTTTGAGAATGTATATCTTTATAATCGCGTGATCTAAATCTGTGAGAGCTTCTCTTCTGTTAGGAAAAGTCTTGCTTTACTGCCTTGAGATGTTTAGAGAGCAGCTCTAGCTAGTAGAAGCTTTTTATCTCACGAGAAAATGCCCAGCAATAGCGGTAGTACTCTAGAGGTAAATGAGATTCTTTTCCAGTAGATCAAGACTAGTTATTGTTTTAATATTTGTGGGACTCTTTACATCTTTCTTGTTGGTGAGTTATAGCTTCTTGAATTTCAACCCGAGTGAACTGTAGGTAGTCTAAAGGTCCTAAACTCTCTCAAATCACTCAGTTTACATCTAGGCAACAGTATTTGTGCCATTATAATGTCATATAGCGCTTATAACAAGAGAAAAATCTGAAACTTCCTTCTTGTTTTCATCTAATAATTAATTAATTGTTGATGATGTAATGCCACACCTCCAATTTGGGAGTAGCTGGATTAGCTTGCATGCTGCTACTTCTGCAGGTAGTCTGGTAGATCTATGCAAGCTAGCTGCTATCCCTCAGGAGTACACTTTTTCATGTATATATGCAATTTGCATGCTAAAGTTCTTTTAATTTTGATAATCAAACAGCTATAGGGGCGAAGCCACGCACCGTAGGTGTCTCGTTATATATTGACTTGGAGTGAACAGGTGGACCATGTTTTGAACTTTTCTTGATGCGTACATGTACTTGAACAAATCGGAATTTTAGGAAGATACGTACATGTGCATGTGTTTTTTATATTGACTTGGAATTTTTCGTAGAATTTTCAGATTTGTACTTGTACAAATCGGTATTCTAAGGAAGGGCAAGTTCATGTACATGTACATGTACACCTGTCCCAGTATTGTGCATGTTCATTAACTTGTTTTTTTGTAGCAAACTCCACACAAATTGACTAATGAGTACATTACTGACACTGAAATGGTTAAAAAGGAATTATCTTCAGCTAAAGACAAGAAAATAACAAAGGTATACAGTCACAATAATAATAATAATAACAACAAGAGCAATAACAATTGATAATCATTGATAGCACAATTCTATAGACATTGTTAGAGACAATACTAAGAACACTTGAAATAATAGAATCAAGACAAGCTGACCAGGTATACTGTAGTATGTATATTATGATGGATTGCACATCTCTTCCTTTTTATGATAAGTTGAAGGCTCAAGAGGCGGAAATAATCAGACAGAAAGAGAGCATGGAAGATTATGTGAAGTACATTGAAGAATTGTTTCTTAGCATTAAGTAAGTGTATTGGATAATGTATCAGTTTGGTATGCATGTACTATAGTAGTGGGAGTTATAGCTAATAATTAATGAGTACATGTATGTGTGTTTTTGTTTTGTAGGACAAGTCATAAAGAGTTCATGAGGGATTTGTATCATAAGATTGACCTCCCATTAAAAGGTTTGTTGATAGAGACGCTTTATATGCTACTGGTCCATATGTATGCTTTAATGTGTATAGCCATAGATCCACATTGGTCTTGGAATAGAGTTAAATTTTTTTCAGCATTTTGTGTTGATCAGAAGCATTAGAAATTGTAGTTATGTTGGCCCAGAGTGTCCTATTTTGAACTAATTTTATTTAACCTTTTTCTTTTTCTCTCTCCAGATCTTACAGCTCATTATTATCATTTAAAGGCCAGCAACAGTTCATTGGAGATATTGGAATCATATATTTATGAAGTGAGAGATAATCAGTCTGCATGATTAGCTATTTCTCCTCCTCTTTCTGTAAACCATAATCCTCATCACACAGTTAAATGAATTTTGTAGACGGCTGAAGCAAACATCAGAGAGAGACTCAGAATCATTATTAGGTGAGTATTAGTATTGTGTGGGGACTAAAATTTATTACAATTTAAGTTAATTATGCCTTAAAGCCCATCATCCACTATTCAACTTTGTTGAAAGCAACTTTGTGGTTACTTTGATCTTATGGCAACTCTATTGCCTGAAATAGAACTGAGTTCTAATTCAGGCAACTGAGTTGGCAGCACATCAAAGTAACCACAAAGCTGAATAGTGGATAGTGCAGGCTTTACAGTATTGGATGTGCATAATTATTTTTATTATAATCTTGGTATAATAGGTGTGTTTCGTGGAATGTTATCAATAATAGGAAGATAAATTAAAACCTCAAATCAATAACAATAACTCTCTGTATATGAGACAGTTTGAAAATGTTAACTGAACATTCTAAAAATATTGAGGAATGTGTTAATTGAGTTACTGCTTCTAAAATTTAAATAGCCAATG